AAGGTGGGAATGGGAATGGGAATGGAAAGGTGGGAGGGCAGGGAGGATGCCCAGACTCCAAGGGTAAGGTGGGAATGGGAATGGGGATGGAGGGGATGGAAGGAGGGAGGGTGTCCAGGGTGCCACATTCCCAGGCCGTCGTGCTGAATTCCAAGGATAAGGTGGGAATGGGAGTGGGAATGGAGGGCATGGAAAGGTGGGAGGGTGGTCAGGGTGCTCAACTCCAAGGATAAGGTGGGAATGGGAATGGGAATGGAGGGGTGGGAGGGTGGGAGAGTGCGACATTCCCAGGCCGTGGTGCTCAATTCCAAGGATAAGGTGGGAATGGGAATGGGAATGGGAATGGGAATGGGAATGGAAAGGTGGGAGGGTGGTCAGGGTGCTCAACTCCAAGGGTAAGGTGGGAATGGGAATGGGAGGGTGGTCAGGGTGTTCCGTTCCCTGCTCCCTATCCACCAAAACCCCTGGATTTCCCCCCTCCAAAGCATCCAAACATCCCATTTCTCCCTGTTTCCTCCCTCAGGCTCCCTATTTAATCTACGTGGAGGTGCTGGAATGTGACAACGTGGACACGGCGAATGTTCCCGCCCGGATCCCGGAGAACCGGATCCGGAGCACGCGCTCGGCCGAGAACCTTCCGGAGGTCGGGATGAGCCCCGAGCAGAGGACGGGGAGTTTCAGCACCGTCCCCAACTACGACAACGACGACGAGGCCTGGTCTGTGGATGACATCGGGGAGCTCCAGGTGGAGGTGATGGAATTTTGGGAAGAGGGGGGCGGGACGGGATGGGAGGATCGGGATTTGGCGGGAAAAGGGGGTTGGAGGGAGGGAAAAGGGTGTTTGGAGGGAGGGGAGGGGGTGAGGTGAGGCTGGAGGGGGGAGGGAGGGTGTGTTGGGGGAGTGGGAGAGGAGGGGAGAGGGATGGAGGGGGTGATTCCAGGGTTGGGAATGATGGGAGAGTTCTGGGAATGATGGGAGAGGTCTGGGGGGTGTCACTTCCAGGACTGGGAGCAATGGGAGAGGACTGGAGGTGGCAATTCCAGGAGTGGGAATGATGGGGAGAGACCTGGAGGTAGCAATTCCAGGGTTTGAAGTGATGGGAAGGTGGCACTTCCAGGGTTGGGAATGATAGGAGAGGTCTGGGGGGTGTCACTTCCAGGGTTGGAAGTGATGGAAAGAGACTGGAGGTGTCACTTCCAGGACTGGGAATGATGGGGAGAGAACTGGAGGTGGCACTTCCAAGACTGGGAGCACTGGGAGAGGACTGGAGGTGGCACTTCCAGGGTTGGGAATGATGGGAGAGGTCTGGGAGGGGGGTCACTGCCAGGGTTGGGAGCACTGGGAGAGACCTGGAGGTGGCACTTCCAGGACTGGGAATGATGGGAGAGGTCTGGGAGGGGGTCAGTTCCAGGACTGGAAGAGTTCTGGGAATGATAGGAGAGGTCTAGAGGGGGTCACTTCCAGGACTGGGAGCACTGGGAGAGAGCTGGAGGTGGCAATTCCAGGACTGGGAATGACAGGAGAGGTCTGGGAGGGTGTCACTTCCAGGATTGGGAATGATAGGAGAGGTCTGGAGGTGTCACTTCCAGGACTGGGAATGATGGGAGAGGTCTGGAGGTGTCACTTCCAGCACTGGGAACACTGGGAGAGCCCTGGAGTTGTCTCTCCCACCCCCAGGAATCCGGATCCCCCCAAACTCCTTCCCTGCCCTTCCCAGACGCTTCCCGGAGCCTCCCCCCTTTCCCTGGGACGCAATTCCCGGCTGGAATCGCATCCCAAGCACCCCCCTCACCCCCCAATCCCGCCGTTTTCCAGCTTCCAGAGGTTCACACCAACAGCTGCGACAACATCTCCCAGTTTTCCGTGGACAGCATCACCAGCCAGGAGAGCCGGGAGCCCGTGTTCATCGCCGCCGGGGACATCCGGTCAGGAATTCGGGATTTGGGATGGGAATTGGGGATTTGGGATTGGGATGGGCCCTGGCTGCAATCCCAGGGGTGTCTCCGGTCAGGAATCCGGGATTTGGGATCGGGATTGGGGATTTGGGGTTGGGATGGGCCTTGGCTGCACTCCTAGAGGTGTCACCCTTATTCCTGCCAGGGATATCTGGTCAGGGAATTCAGGATTTGGGATTTGGGATTGGGATGGGCCCTGGCTGCACTCCCAGAGGTGTCACCCTCATCGACATCCGGTCAGGAATCTGGGATTTGGGATTGGGATTGGGGATTTGGGGTTGGGATGGGCCCTGCCTGCGCTCCCAGAGGTGTCACCCTCATTCCCGCCGGGCTCAGCCTTGGGAGCAGCTGGAATTGTCTCCCTGGACACCTTGGGAGCAGCTGGAATTGTCTCCCTGGATATGGGGGAACCTTGGGAGCAGCTGGAATTGTCTCCCTAGACAATGGGAGAGCTTTGGGATCAGCTGGAATTGTCTCCCTGGACACCTTGGGAGCAGCTGGAATTGTCTCCCTGGACACGGGAGAGCTTTGGGAAAAGCTGGAATTGTCTCCTGGACAACAGGAGAACCTTGGGAGAATCCCCCCCTCTGCCAAATCCCGGGATCGGGGGGTCCTGGGCTGGGCTGGGGAGGTGGAATTTGGGTTCCAGGGGATTCTCCTGGTGCCCGAATCCAAGGAATTGTGTGATTCCCGTGTTCCAGGAGGCGGCTGTCGGAGCAGCTGGCGCACACCCCAACCTCCTTCCGCAGGGATCCCGAGGATCCCTCGGCCGTCGCCCTCAAGGAGCCCTGGCAGGAGAAAGTCAGGTCAGGAGGGGAATTTGGGAAGGGAAGGGAAGGTTTGGGAAGGTTTGGGAAGGTTTGGGAGGGTTTGGGAGGGTTTGGGAAGGTTGGGAAGGGAAGGGAAGGGAAGGGAAGGGAAGGGAAGGG